GCAGAACAAAAATATTCAATAAACGGTGCATAAAAGCAAGATTGCAGTACTTACAGCCCGGTCATAAAACTAGTGAAGCGACATCAAGAGCCGCCTGTTTTGCTTTACTTTAGCGGTTTTCCTGGCTGACTTGCTTGATTCTCTCTTCAGATTTTTTGTCTGAATAATAAAATTCACTTTTCCCTGGCTAATGCTAATAATAGCGCAAGTTTTAAAAGAAAACTGGTTTAAAAGTCACGGTTTTTGCTCATTCACAAACAACAAACAAACTTGTGAATGAAGCTGCCAACGATAACCCAGCGGGCAAGATCGTAAAATACCGCCCGCTCTCGGAACCAATCAGATTGCAGAATTTGGAGGATTCCGCCCGCTCGCAAGCTTGAAAAACATAGTATTTCAAATTTTATGCTAGGACCATAGGTGACCATAAGAGAAGAACAATGTGTGTGTGTTTTTTTAATGCGATTATTATGATTATTATTTATTTGGTTTTTCATTTTTAGATGATGGACTATGGAAAAGCATAGGAAACTGACAAATTTTAGTCCGTCTATAATATATAGATATATGTTTAAACTGCCTACACAATAATAATAGTAATTGTGGTGCTGAAGCGGGGGAAGTTGTGTAAAAGTGAGGGTATTAAGTTGATAAATGGACAGACGATAAAGGAAGCTGATGAAATTATGACAATGAATAAGGAGCTACGCCCTAGAAGTGATGCTGCCAGAATATACCTATCCAGAAAGAAGGGAGGAAGAGGCCTGATCAGTTGTGAGAGCTGCGTGAGGAGAGAAGAGAACAACTTGAGTTAGTATTTGAGAAATAGTGAAAAGGAATTACTCAGGAAAGTTGGAGAGAGCAATGTAGTCAACATCTCAGAGGCTGTGGACACAAAGGAGTACAAAGTGAATTAAGTAAAGGAGACGGAGAATGAATGGAAGCAGAAAAGAATGCATGAGCAGTATGTGAGAGAAAAGGAAGGTATTGACTGGGATAGAACTTGGCAGTGAATTGCAAAAGGAGATTTCAAAGGATGTACTGAGGCCCTGATATGTAGCGCCCAGGAACAAGCTTTGAGAACAAATTATACGAGATTTCATGTTGATCACACAGCAGAATCCCCTTTGTGCAGAGTGTGTGAAAGTAAGGGAGAAACGGTGGCCCATGTGGTGAGTGGGTGCGGTAAGCTGGTGCAGACAGAATATAAAGGAAGGCATGATAACGTGGCACGGTATATCCGCTGACAACTTTGTGGTAAATGTGGATTGGAAAAGCTAATACTGTGAAAGGTTTGAACCCAGGAGTCATTACAAAAGTAGGTTGAGTTTGATCGTTCGGGTGAACGTAGTCCTGAATAGGACTGTTGTTGTTGACAGTGACTGACGTTTCGACAAACTGTGCGGTAGTCATCTTCAGAGTCAAAGTGAGTTGTATCACGTCAGTTGATGATATTATACTCTGGTTATTGATCTGATTGGTCAATTACGTCGCGATGTTATTGGTCGTCTGTCAGTTAAGCCGTGATGTTATTGGCTATGAAGACTCGTAGTCAGTAATTGGTGCGTTTCGATCCGTCTGTTGTCACAGTTAAACAGTCGTCTATTGTTAGTCAAATTGTCAGTTCTCCAGTCGTTCTCTCGTAGTTAGTTTACTCTGCGACATGTATAACGTATTCTACAGACTTCTATCAACGTCTGACTTTAGAAAGCTGGTTTACTAACTTAGAACAAACGCCACTAAATCGTAGCTAACAGTTACCAGCGCCGTACAAACGACTTATTGACGAGATCAAGCAAAACTAACTTTTTTTCGTTTCTTCATCTGTCTAACCTACCTTTTTTCCGCCCTCCACCGACAAGACTTCTGGCATAAAGTAATCTTTGGTGGGATAGGGGCCAATGTACGATTGTCATTCCGGCACGTTCATTTTGTGACAAAATACCCCTTTTTCAGTTCCGTCAAATTGACATTTTTGGAAAAAGTGGCTTGAGGCGTGCCAAGGAAAGAGGGAGGTTGAATGAAACGAATACGGCCATGTAGCAAATCAATAAGAGTCATTGTAGCCGGAAAAATTATGCACAAACACGACCAATTCTCGGTCTTATTGCTCCTCCAACTATTCTAACCAGGCCAAAAACTCTTTCAAGTAGTCTTTACCTAGATTTGTTTTAAGAAGCATCGACAGACGGAATTTATGATTAAAAAGATAAGCATTGAAGAGAAAGCAAGAATGCAAGAAGCTTTGTCTTTTAATAGGCCACCACTTGCAAGCCGCCGGTGTCCGTCAGGCGTTGGCCTGGGTAACAGCGCTGAATATGACCTCTATTAACTTTTTATAAAAATTTTTGAAAATAGCTCGTGTATAGCTGTGATGAAAGTTATGTTAAGTCACACGTTACGTAAATCTGATTAATTTTTTTTAAATTAAAGGTCTGATGATCAATTTCAGTAATATGGTAAAATAACAGCTTGCCACCACAACGAAAACGCGCTCTGTAGTTTAAAAAAAATATAGAGAGAGATTTAGCCAGGGCTAAAAGCGTAGCTCTAGTTAACAAATTTATCACTTAAATCAAACTAGGGAGATCCATATGAAGTTGAAGGGTGGGGCTGGGTGACTTAAGAGAAAAAATAATTTGAAAAAAGAAATCACCTTTGGCCACAGTAGATTAGGAGTGGAAACCAAATTCTTCCCAAGCAAAATCACCTTTATTTTATAATTTTATGCTATAAAGGCCGTAAGAACACGATAGTCCCCTGTGGCAGCCAATTTACTCGTTATAATTTATCGGTGTTATCTCAGAATTTATGTCATTTTTTCCCTATTTTAATTACAATTAAGCAGTTTGTTAAAGAATAATCTTACAAGACAAATTGCACTCGTTCAATATTCAGGACGATCGAAGCACGCGCTTCCCTCGCACAACATATTATAAAAATAACGTCATAAAACGTTTTTTTATAGCGGAACTCTCGTGCACGAATAGCGCGCTTGCGGAGCACCATGGGTAAGAAAATTTGGTAAACTATTTACAGCGGTCTTACCCAAGCGAGTATAAGAGGGATCGCACGAATGCATTCATTACCATTTCGATAGAACTTTCGAGTGCTTAGGTTATGGCTGCTCCAGTTGCCAACGAAGCCCAAGGACCTCAGGTTCCTCGCCCTCCACAGGCCGACGTGGTCTAGGGCATTGTAGCTGATCAACCCCCGTCACAACCTATTCGCGACGCCAACGGGCTTGAGGTAATGTGTCTTCCGTTTTTTCATACTTCGCTAGCGTTGCTGCCTCTTTTCATATGCACGCGTCGGCGTATTCTTATTTGTCCCTTCCCTGCGTTTCCTTGCGTGGTGTTCGTTCTCCACTCCATCTAGCTTGCTTTTTTCTTTTGCCCCCTTTTTTCTGTGTTTTTAGTTTGCATTCTCTAGTTCTACCCTATTGCTGCGCTTTGTCATTTCAAGCATTTTGTTCTAGTCTCTAGCCTCCCGGCCTTATGTTGCTCGCGTTGCTATTCTCATTGCGTTTTCATATTTGTTGTTTCCTCACAGCCGATGTGATTCATTGCACTCTCTGTTCTGGCTTTTTTGCAATTAGCATTTCACTTCGATTTCACCGGTATTTAGATTTTCAATTTGTTTTATTCCCCTTTATCGGCGTTTTTTCGTTTTTATTTGGCTTCAGTTTTCCCGGCATTAGAAATTCATTTAGTGTTTGTTCCCTCATCGCCGATGTTTTTCATTGCTTTTACGACTGCAAAATTTTGCCTGCTTCAATAGCTTTAGCTCTTCGCTTTGCTTTGCCGGCTTGTAGTTTATTGTTCGTTCCTTATTACCGGTTTTTTCTATCGCTTTACTTCACACCTTTGTGTAGCGTAAACTTTGCTTTAGTTTTTTCCGGCATGAGAAGTTCTTTATTTGTTGTTGCCTCATGGCTGATGTGTTTATTTCTTTGTTACCGTGGTTCTTCACGTAGGCATTTTAATTTATTTCTTTTTCCGGTATGAGAAGTTCTTTTATTCGTTTGTTCCCTCATGGCCGATGTTATTCATTGCATTTTTATCACTTTTTTATACAATAGAGTTTGCTTGCTACAAGAGCTTTAGTTTTTCGCTTTTCTTTTGCCCGCATCTCGCGGCGTGAGAAGGTCCTTCATTTTGTTTGTTCGCTTTTTATGGTTACTACACCTTACGGAGTTCGCATTTTACGTGGTTTGCTTTCAGGCATTATAAGTTTTATTAATTTGTTCGTTACCTTATGGCCTACGTAATTTATTGCCCTGTTATGGATTTTAGTCAATCGGTATTTTCATTTATTTTATTCGTCAGTTGCCTCGTTACCGGCGTCTTCTTCCATTGCATTTGCTTGATCTTGCGCTTGTGTACTCCAAACTTTTGTTTACCTTTTTGCCGCGGGTTAAGTTCGCTTGTTTGTTTGTTATTTTGTTTGACGCATAACTTTTATGTCAATCTCCTTCTCCGACAATTACGTTTATTTGTTTGCTATGTTTTTAGTTGTTGTTTCCTTCTGTTTCGCGATTGTAACACCGTTTAGTTGTCACATGTTTCTGATTTTAACGCTATATTCGCATTGCTATCGCCTGTTTATTTCCCCCCTTTCAGCCTGATCCTGTGGCTCAGTTACGCCGGCGTGTTGAGACTCTTGAAAGTCAGCAGAAGGCCTCCCAAGTTGACGTGCAAATAGTCCGCCTTTCTTCCTATGGCCTGAGACACGCAACCGATTTTGACAAGTACTCTGTTCTTTCCGTGGCGGAATCCTTGGCTTCAGACGCTAAGCAGCACAACCATCCTAAGGCATCCTTTTTAGCTGTTGCCTCTCAGACTCTGCGTGGTCAGCTTCAGAAGCCCACTAAGCTTTTCCAGGCGTATTTCCTCGCCTTATCTGCCGACAAGGAGTATTCGCAGATCCTGGATCGCATCTCTAAGGTTGACAAGTCCTTCCGCGCAGAAACCACCCAGCGTCTTGCCAATTTTCAGGATATGCCTGGTCCCTCTGGCAGAGGATCTAATAGATTGCGGCGTGTAGTCTGTTTCTCCTGTGGTCTGCCTGGCCATACTGCTCCCAGATGTTTTCGCCGTTTGCAGCCTGGCAGTCGTTTTTCTCCGTATTCTAGGTCTTCGCGTGGGCGTTCTGTTAATCAGTAGCTGCTTTCCGCTTTTCATTTGCCTGTGAATCAGCTCGTTCGCCACAAATAAATTTGCTATTTGCTGCTAGTTTTGTGTGTCCTTTTTCCCTTACCCGCTCTAGGGTGGCAGTTTTGAAAGGGAGTCAGTTTCCCTCTCAGTTTTTTGAGGCTCAAAACTGCCATCCCCGAAGCCACCTCCTCCATTTTTATTTGCCCATTTTCCTTCTCTTTTAGCCCCCTTCCAAGCGTTTTAAGGGTGCTTCTCCTACCATTCCAGAGTGGGAATTTACGGCCGATTTCGACCCTACAAGTGTTGTCAGTCCTTCAGTTCGTTGGGTCGGCTTTGATGGCTCGCCTCTTGAGGTGGCTCAGGGGATGGCAGAAGGCAACTCGCACATTGCATCTCAGTTCGTAGAAGATGTTATAAGTGGCCAGGCTCGCGCCGATGTTTCCATGCTCGCCTTCAGAGATCCCGACTCTTTTGTTGCTGGTAACCTGCACAATCATTTTCAAGCCTGGGAGTGCATCGCCAACATTGCCCCGTTTGATCTTACGCCCAAGATTTTGCTGTGGATCAAGAACTGTGTTGACGTGCAAGATTTCTTTCAACCCTTTAAAGGTCAATATAGGGGAAAAAACTTTGATTCGACTTTGCCCCCGCATCGGATTTTTTCTAATGCTCTGTCTTGTAAACCGTTTTCCCCTCTTCTTTCCAATCAGTCTGTGACGATAAATCCGGCTATGACCACGTCCTGCTTACCCCTGAAAGCCGCCCATATTTTGATTTCCAGTGGGGTGACTGGTACTTCACCAGTAACACCATCCCTTTCGGATGGAAATCGTCTGCCTATATTTACCATTCTATAGGTCTTCTCGCTTCCCATTATTTTCGCTCCCTCCTCATACCTTGCTAATTGTATATTGACGATCGTCATACGGGTGAAATTCAGGTCTCCCCTAAGGCCTTGGGATACGCCTCTCTTTCCTCAGACGCGGACAGACCATTTGCTCGTGCTTGCTCCGCTATTTTCGTGGTTTGTTATACGCTGGTTGATTTGGGTTATTTTATTGGTCTCAAGAAATCGCACCTGGTTCCTAAGCAGGTAGTCCCTTACCTTGCGTTTTGGTGGATTCTGTTCAGCAAGCTTTTTTGCTTATCGAGGAGAAGAAGCAAAAGTTCTTGTCCCTTTTACGCTCTGTTCTTAGTTCTCCTTCTACCGATCTTAAGACACTTCAGCGTCTCTCTGGAAAGTGTATTTCCTTCTCTTTGGCGGTTCCCGGGGCTCGTCTTTTTCTCAATGATATCTATAATGTGATTGCGAAGAGCCAACGTCACGGTTCTTGTAAGCCTATTCTAGTTACTGGCCCATTGAAACGCGAGCTTGAGCAGTGGTTGTTTCTCGAGTCCTGGTCCGGCTCCCTTCCTTGGCTTTTGGAGACCCATCATCAGGTCAAGTTATGTTCAGATGCCTCCTCCTTTGCTTGAGGCTGTGTTCTTGGCCCTGATACTTTTTCAGCCACTATTCGGGATTACTGGCCTGTTGATCAACGTCATCCCCACATTAATGCTAAGGAGGCTTGGACCCTCGCCAATGCCCTAGATGAATTTTCCGGTTCCTTGCGTGATAGTTGGGTGGATGTTTATACTGATAGCCAGGTTCTTATCTCATCCTGGCGGTGTCAAGGCGCAAAGTCTCCAGACCTGGTCGTCGCCTTGAAGCGTATCTTTAGCATCATTTCCTCTTGTAACATTCACCTCAATCTCTTTTACATTCCCTCTGCTGCTAATCCCGCGGACGCTCCTTCCCATGTTTTGTTGTTGCAGGATTCTAAGCTTTCCCCTTTTGCCTGGGGTCAAGTTCAAGCCAGATTTGGTGGCCAATTTGGTCACTCCGCAGATTTGATGGCTCTCCCCTCTAATCTGCAGTGCGCTCTAGATGGTTCTCTCCTTCCTTTCTTTTCTCCGTATCCTGTTCCTGGTTCTTCAGGGGTCAATTTGTTTGCTCAGCGTCCTTACAACCATGGCCACCTTTTTTCAAACCCCTATGTTTTCCCCCCTATTATTCTAATTCCCCAGGTCTTGCGTTTTGTTAAAAGTCAATCCTTTCCTTGTACCATTGTTGTCCCTGACATTCGTCCTCGAAAATTCTGGTGGCCCCTTTTGCAATCGTATTCGTCTTTCCAACTCGCTCCGAAGGGTACCCTCGGAATGGTTCTTCCCCCCTCTTCTGAAGGATTTTCTCCGCGTTGGCCCCTCCCTTGGGATTTGTGGGTGTTTCGTATTGATCCCCTTTAGAATATTCATGAATAGAATATATTTATTTTCGGTTTAGTCTGTTCACATAACTTTTCTACATCGGTTCGTTACCTTGGACTTTTTGCTATTCATAGGAACATAAGCTGTTGTAATAGAATGTGTTACGCGTGATAATTAAAATTCAGTCTTTTGGCACCTCCTGTCTCTTTTTGTCTCCTATCTGTTACCCCTCTACCCATTCTTCCTTTTCTCTAGTCTCTTCTTCCTGTTCCGCGCTTATTCGTCCCGGCAGTTGCGTGCCCATCTTGCCACTATCCTAATGACCATGTCTTCAAGTTTTGTCAGAATTGTGGTTATGTTAGACGTCGTGGTCACACAGCTGTTCCCAGGGCCGTCAGTTTCGACCTCCCTGCTATTGATCTACGTATCAGCTCTCTACAGTCAGCAAGCCTTTCGTCCGCTTGTTCCAGGCAGAAGCAATCTTTAAAGGCTGAGCTTGAAGGCTTTCTTTACGCCCTCCCTGGCAATAAAAGCCTTTTTGATGCCACCCCCCTAGATGTTTGCCGCTTTTTGGTTTTCAAGGACTCAAAAGGTAAAACCCAAGTCCATAGCATAGGATGTCCACATCTTGGTCAGCGGGGTTCTTTCCCTTGCAAGTGCCCGCTGAGACTGGCCTACTCCACCGTTGATTCATACATTGGCAAGTTACGCTCTATATTTTCCGACATTGGTCGTCAAGGTGACTGGAATAGGACTCTCCTTATTGGTAACCCGGCCTCCGATTTGTTAGTAAAGCAGTACCTTAAAGAGTTCACCGCTGAGCAACTCCGGGCCAGCATTGCCCCCAAGCAGGCTGTACCACTTTTTGCTGACAAATTGCTTTCGCTTTCTCGACACATCGAAAAGCGTCTTCTCCTCTCGTCCCTTTCGCCAACTGAGATGTTTGTCACCGCCAGAGATCAAGCTTTCTTCAAGGCTCATTTCTTTTCTGGTGACCGTGGCGGGGATCTGGGGCAAGTTAAGACCTCGGATATTGCTCGTTTCCCTGATGACAATGGATTCTTATTTAATCACATTTGGGGAAAGACTTTGAGGGATGGCGCCTGCAACCTTTTTGGCATGCGCCGTCACCCCAACCCAGCATTATGCCCGATTAAGGGTATTAAAACTTATGTGTCGATTGCTCGTGAACTTGGAATTAGCCTGTCTCCTGGATACTTGTTTCGTGCGACAAATCATCAGGGGCATATTGTTGATAAACCCCTTTTAAGCTCCGCGGCCGACTCCCGCCTTAGAAAATATCTTCGTGATGCTAACATTGACGGTGGGGAAACCCTTCACAGTTTTCGTTCTGGCTGTGCCCTTACCCTGGCTTTCTCCGGTTCCCCTTTGGCTGACGTTATGTCTCACGTTGGCTGGTCAAATTCCAAGACAGCTTTGTATTATCTCAAGTTAGCTGATGTTATCAGGGCTGGGGCCCCAGCTGACCTACTTACTTCTGCACCTTCGTAGTCCCAGGAGGCCTCTCGCATTTATGAAGATTACAACGCCTTAGAGGATTTTGTCTCTGCTTTCCCTGTTTCCTACTCGTCTGCTTTCAAGCGTGCTCTTCCACCTTAATTCTCCCTTTTTGTTATGGTTTTCTCTAGCTTTCAGTTTTGGGGTTTTAGCATGGGGTTTTCTTTGAGATTGGGCTGTTGGTCTCCGCTTTCTGGGTACCTGGCGTTCTACATGTCATTGTTCTCTGTGGCCGCCAGACTTCCATACCTCAAGATCGGTGTAAATAGGAGTGCGGGTAAGATCGGTGTAAATAGGATACTATCCATCCGAGAAAATTTGGTTATGACGTAGCGTACGCCCACCCGTACACACACTTCGTGTAAGCTGATGTCAAATGTCACATCTTGGAGAAATTAACACTTTGTAAGCCATCCGTATGAGGATGAATTGGCAGCTGTCAAAATCAGACATCCGCTGACAGTAATCACATAACCATCTCGCGGGCTCAGATGAAAAATCAGTCGTTTTCCCTACATATAAGCTGATATAATATGTCACACCAACATAAAAATGAAAATGAAATGAAACTTCGCTTTCACCAGCCAGGGCTGTCAGTTTAAAGTATGTATTTGTGTATGTATGTAAATCTTTATTTACTGCGCTTTTCACAAACATGCGAACTCTAAAGTTCAAAAGCCGCCTTCGCAATTGCGTTTTTCGCTGCCGTCAATCATCATTACTATCACAAGCAACGAACCTTGAAACACAGAAACACACAAAACGGATCGAAATCCACAAATCACAAATCACAAACCTTGACCTTTTGAACCCGTTAAAGTAAAGTTTTGTTTACCAAGAGGTCCGTTAAGATGATTGACGGCAGCGAAAAACGCAATCGTCAGTTGGCTTTTGAACTTCAGAATTCGCATGTTTGTGAAAAGCGCAATAAACACGGGAAATCATCAGTTAAGCTTAAGTTAAAAACTAAAACTAATTACAACTGCTTTACATGATTGCCGTGTGGGAATCCGATATATCAGCTACCTTCTTGATATTTCGCTTAAAATGCTCAACGGATGCAGCATTTTTTAAGTTTTTGGCAAGTTATTCCATAACATGGCCCCACTGTAAGAGAAGCTTCGTTTCAAAAAATTGGTGCTTGGTTTGGACAGGGTCAGCCTTCCCTCAGAGTTTCTTAAGTTGTAAGCAGAGTGACGCTGAGAGAAAAGACTTTGTAGATATTCCGGAGCAAGGTCATTCATGGTTTTATACATCATTAAGAGCGGATGTCAGTAAATATCGACCAGAGGTCTACAAAAGTGAAAAATCGAAAATTCTCAAAAAAATTCACAAAGTAGCACTAGGTAAGCTATTAACATAAATGTAATTTTTACTTCGATCCGATAATTATTTTCCACGTACGGGGCGGTTATTGGTTTCGCGGCTCTCGGACCGGGTTTTCCAGGCCCGAGACCATGTGTCGCAAAAAAATCGTTTTAAAATTCAAATCCATTGTAATGTGGACAACAAATAACTTATTCAAAAGAGTACTTAATTGCACACATTCTAAGTGGTGATTTACTCAGTTTGAACGAAAGTGTAATATTTTGGAGATTTTTCATTATTTTTAATATTTTGAACGTTTTCGTTCAATGAAAAAATGGCAAATTTCAAAGCCCAAAATCGTCAACTGGTACCTCGATTTCAGTAACGAGTCTTATGCCGCGTTAAAGAGCGTTATCTCTTCTTTCAAAATCTGTTTTCAAAACTACGGGCAACTTAAAAGAAAATTTTTGAGGCCAAAAAAATACAAGCAGTACTTTTCTGAAATTTGAGCTTTCAAGACGCGGCGGGCCGATGCTAAAAACTTGGAAAAATACAGTAAGAAATCAGTTTGAGCAATAGTGGTTTCATGTTATCAGCTTTCAGAAACCAAGACGTGTTTATACAGCGATCTGATATAAATTATTGCCGTTTGCTATCAA